TCATGATGACAGCATTAAACGTATTTGACGTTCTATTTGTTTAAAATTTCTACAATTCCCCAAAATTTTAATTAAACATTATAAAAACAGTTTGGAATTTTTTTTAAGTTTCTGTTTACAGCTTTTCCCTTTTTTTCAAATCGAGATTTAATTTAAAAAGCTTAAATTTCCCAAATGCAGTAAAGTAACTCTCGGGTCGACAATTTGATTTTTTTCTAATCTGCTTAGTTAAAAACCAAGTAAAATATAATATGTCAAGTTTTAAAAGGGTTGGGTTTCGGCAACGAATAGCCCCCATTCAAAAAAGACCAGGCAAAAGCATTCTAATATACATAACCAACAGTAATAAATTTGGGAAAAATAATTTTGCTACAAATTAAAAAACAGAAAAAGTGTATTTAACCAAAATATTAACCTAAAAAATGGTGTCGGATTTCTTTTCTTACATTTGAGATAAACAGTTTCTAATTGTTATTTAAAAAATACCCTGTGGACAATTTGGACATTTAATAAATATAAGCGTTTCCCCCATCTTTAGAATGTTTTAAGCTTTTTCGCACGGTAAACATATAACAACTTTAAGAATAGATTTAACAACAAAACAAAAAATCAGGTTAATTACCAAAACTAATGACACGTGAATTGTATATCCGCCTACCACTCAAACGCCGAAACACAGTATTTGATCTAACAGAAACACAAATAACTCAAGAGACACATGAAAGAGTTACATATAAAGTTCCCATGTAAAACAAAATAACGTAAAGGTTATTATCCAATTATATTTTATCAAACAAATGGATGCATGTTTGCTTGTTTTTAATGATTATATATAAACAAATTCTCTCTTAAGAATTCGTTTATTAGTCGGTGTGATTTTACTTCATACCGATCAAACAACAGGTTGTTATTGAAATTCTGTAAAAGTCTTTTACATGCGTGACGTATTCACTTAATTTCATTTTTCGATTTGCCATTAAATTACAGAAAAGTTACACGTGTATCAAAACGTGTTTTCCTCTTTAATCAGGCAGTTAAAATGAAATATAGCAAACATTTAAAATACTATTTAAAATATAGGGAGTATAATAGACATGTATTCACCGCTTAGATAACGAATACATATCTCCGCTTTTTATTTAATTATTACGTTTTTTATAATTGTTGTTGCTAAAAATAAATCTATTGGAAGTTTTATCAGTTCCTCTCTTGATTGATTGTACATAAATGAATTCTATATAGATTATAAATAAATATTGTTTAAGTGACATTTATCTCTTTGAAAATCTATAAACAATTCTCAGTTTAAAATAAAATCATAAAATTGATGAAATATCAAGCAGACATTTCAACAATTCAAATTTGTTGGAACCATCTACCGTAAATATGAGCCTTATTTATGGCCTCTTTTCAAATAGTACAGAATAAATCTAGAATGAAATTATTTATTTTTGAAGATGCTATAATTTATAAATAAAATTAGACACAATATTAAAGAAAGTTTAAATAAACTAAACATCCAAACAATAATTTAAAAAAGAAGCGCATACGAGTGGCAAACATCTTCGTTAATTATCATGGTGTACGTATTAACGACGCATCTAAGAAAAAAATGTTGTGCACCCAACAAAATTAAGATGACAACTAATTACCTAAGCAATGAAAGTTTGTTTCATGAAGAGAGATTTCACAAAAGTACATGGCTTCTGTTTTTTTGCCACTGGCCTCTTGTTGCTGGGTGGGGGTTGCGTTCATTGAACGCCGCCTTTCCTTGTTGATCTTGTTTATCATATTTTTTTCGAATCTTACTCCTTCTCAATTCATTGTTAACCTTCCGTTAAAACACTTTTATTTTGCAATTATAAACGTTTAATCGAGTTAAATGTATTTGCGCATGTTTACCGGATTAAAGTACCGGCTCCAAGCGGATTTTTTACGAGTCAGAAATTATAATCAAGCGTTCATCGCGAGACATTTCCGGTTCCAATGCCACAAAATGGGAAATACTATGTGAAAAAATATCAAAACAGAAAACGCAAGAACAAAATCAATTCAATTTCGGCATTAAAAAACAAAAACTAGACAATCGAACAGAAGTGCTACCGCCAGATTCGGTTTATACAGAATCGTGTCCTGTACTTTCGTCCCATGAAAAGGGATCGCCATCATCGGAACAAATGATCGAATCAGATCATGGTGAAATAATTGTAAGAGCAGTTGAGAAACCTTGTCCTGTACCTTCGTCCCATGAAAAGGGATCGCCATCATCGGAACAAATGACTGAATTAGATAATGGTGAAATTATTGTAAGAGCAATTCAGAAAACTTCTAGTCCAAAACAATTATCATGTCATGTTGATTCATATGACGCCAGAAAATATGTTGGCATCAGATCGAAGGTTACAAACATACAGTATGTATTTTTACCATTCTGCTCTTGGCAGACATCTTGAAACCAGTCAACATGTTGTCACTGTAACTACAAAGTGACATTGGATACTTTATAAATCTTCCTGATTGTGGCAAGGCATGTGTTCATGATATTCACGAAATCACAAGGCAGTATCAACAAGGAGACATACAAGACCTTGAATTCAGGTATAAAGATATTCTGAGAATTTGGTATACATTTAATTAGTGAATATGTGTCACAGATTGATTAAAAACTAGATTAAAATTTTTACACTACTTTTAATTCTATTCATGTTGCATGTGTATTATAAAACTAGTTATTGATTATAGATAATGTTCTTTTTCGTGTAGGAAGGCAGAGAGATTTGTTGATATAATTCAAGACAAGACAGACCAAGCACGTAAACTTAGAGATGGTGCTGCTATATCCAACAGACACCAAATAGTAATACATCTCTTAAAAGTAGTCAACTTTATACTTAAAAAAAATTCACAATTTTCTAAATTGTTTATATAGGAAAACATGATTGATGAATAACTTTAGTTAGGATTAAAGTCTTCTGATGAAACCTGATATATAGAAACCTTCGCGAATATCAATGGTTCAAGGGTAAGGTCAAGGTCACAGGCGAGCGATATAGGGCCATCATGGCCCTCTTGTTTTTTTTAAATTATGGCCCTTTTGGTTAGAACAGGCCAAATAGCTTGTTGGCTCAGCACTTAAAGGTCAATGGCGCTCTTCTATATTTAGCAGTGGCATGTCTTCTTGTACAGATGAATTGGTTATAAAGGGGACCAAGGAAAAAAGGAAGGAAAGCATATATGAATATTCCGAGGATGATTACCATCATTTTTTTTTACTGAAAGTTATGTACCTGAATATTTCGATGATGATTCGGATTATGTACCAGAGACTGATGAATCTGAAAATTCCGAGGATGAAGTGGATTATGTACCAGACAGAGATGCATCCGAATATTCCATTGTTGATGACGATCATGTAACTGAAAGTGATGCTCAATTCAAATCTGATTGTGATGATGACTCCTGCAAAGGACAACTTGATCAAGTCGGTGCTAGGGGGCGTGAGGGATGTTGCACGTATTCATTATCCCTCAAACACAGACTCAATCAAACCGAGTCTGCAATTCTCTTGTAATTTTGTTGTGATTAATGCTTTGAGGGATCACTTTGTTTCCAGATTTTGATATGGACAGTGATACGGTACCTGAAATACTGGCAAATACTACGCTTGCGAACACTAAACCTCCTGACAGTAAAATTCAGTCAAAAGATGTCAGTAGTACAAGTCAGCCATTGCCTAGAATTACAGAAAATAACAATCACTTTTTGTTTGTACACAAAAGTAGCAAGAAAGACATTTGAGACAGGATTTAGGACAAAAGACATCAGTGTGTGTATTGTTTCAAGCAATATTCTAAATGGCAAGGCATTTGGCACAAGTTCACAAAGATGAAATAGAGGTGAAGAGGGCTTTAGCCTTTGACAAAAAATCAAAAGAGAGAAAAAATGCATGGAAAATGATCATACATAAAGGTGACTTTGCGCACAATATTCATGTTATGGAAAACGGAAGTGGAGAGATCATACCTGTCAAACGACCAAGACATGAAACAGAAGGTACATGATATGTTCAGTGCATCCACTGTTTGGGAATATACCTTAGTACTGATTTGTGGAGGCATGTGAAAAATGCACATCCAGATGCAAGGAAAAAGACAGCAGTAAAAAGATCACATCAGGTAGACAGTGTATCATTTATACCAGTGAATCCTGCAGTTAAGGAACAGTTCAGAGAAACTATTTTGAATAAAATGATCAATGATGATGTTTCTTTGATTGCGCGAACAGACAGTCTTATTACAATTTTTAGTCAACGAAAGTTTACAAAAACGGCACGCAATCCACATAACTTTGGTCACATCATACAGAAAATGCGAGAACTAGCTCGATTTGTTCAGATGGCTAGAAAAATGAACAAGACAGTAACTTCATTGAAAGACTGTATAAATCCGACGAAGTTTAGCCTTTGTGGCTCTATGTGGATACAATGAAACAAGTCTTTTGTACGAAATTCCATCACTTGCAAAAAAATTAGGACATTCCTTTCACAAAGTGGCAAAAAAAATGAGTGGATGCCTTAGCTAGTGGAAATAAAGAACAGGTCGAAATGGCTGAAGGCTTCATAGAAATGTATAAAGAAGAATGGGATGTAGAAGTTAAAAAAATCTGGAAACAAAGTGATGCGGCACTAGAAACATTGGAAATTCTAAAATACAACAAACCTTCACAAATCCCCCTCGCTGAAGACCTCAAAAATCACTCTCAATATTTCAAAAAAAGAGGCAGGTGCTATAGTTGAAAAGGATGAAATATCTCGGGCAGACTGGAAAGCTTTATCAGAGTTAACTTTGGCCCAGATTGCTCTGTTTAACAAGAGGAGAGCTTGGGAAACCGTTTTGCTAGAAGTAAGTCAATACATGAATGGTGTAAAATATGGCAAAACAATGCATGAGGAAATTCTAGAATCCCTTTCTCCTCTGGAAAAAAAATTGTGGAAGTAATTAACAGGGTCGAGATCAGAGGGAAAAGAGGAAGACGTGTTGCTATTCTTCTGCCGGAAAACCTGAAAAAAACAGTTAGATTTGTTGCTAGAGCACAGATGTGTTGGTGACATTGACAATGAAAACGAACACATGTTTGCAAGGCCAGGTCAATCTAGAACCCCATTAAGGGCAACCGATGTCTTGAGAAAAATCTCGGAGCTCTGTGGAGCATAGCATCCTGAAACTTTGACGACCACAGGCGTTCGGAAACATATTGCTACAATGTCTCAAATGCTCAATTTGAAAGATAATGAGTTAGATGTCTTGGCTACATTTCTTGGTCACGATGTGCGTGTCCATAGAGAATTTTATAGATTGCCAGAAGACACTATCCAGGTTAGTTGTTTTTACATATTGTTTAGCATTTTGCTAACGTCACAATTCCTTCGTCATCACACAAGAGCGATCAGTGATCACATGCGTCGCCTCATGATTGCCAATTTCATGTTGGGACAAGTTTTGTGACAGACGGATAAACAGACGGACAGTGCACAACTAGACTTGGTACTGATCATTCCTGTAAAGTTTGGATAAAATTGCACCATTAGTTTATGAGGAGTAGTCCCGCCAAGCGTTTGTGTATCTGGCAACACACAGAGAAAAAAAAAATTTTTATCAAAGGGCCATAACTCGTCCAAAAATCATTCAACCGGAAAACCCCTGCAATATGCGCAAGGACTTGAGCTACAGATCAATCCTGTAAAGTTTCATTGAAATTGCATTAGTGGTATAAGAGAAGTAGTCCGTACAAACTTTAAAAATAAAAATTATTAAAGGGCCATAACTCTGACAAAAATCATTGAACCGGGAAATGCTGACATTATGCACAACTAGACTTGGTACTGATCATTCCTGTAAAGTTCGGATGGCATTGCACCAGTAGTTTATGAGGAGTAGTCCGGACAAGTTTTGTGACGGACGGACAGACAGACAGACGACAGAGAAGTGATCCCTATATGTCGCCACTACTCCGTAGAGGCGACACAAAAAGGCAACTTAGTGGGTTTGATCTGTGTGAGTCTCTGCATCTCTGAGATTCCAGCAGTGGGGTGGTTTCGACCCTGGGTGCTGCATTTGTAAGTATTGTAACACCAGAGGTTAACCGAAATCATCTTTCCTGTTTGGCGCGATATAACAGTGTTGGTATGCCGTTAAACTCAACTCAACTCACAATAGTTATTTGACCATTTTCAAAAATCAGATTTCAGCACGAAAACCCGTCACAAAATGAATTCACAACAAGACTGGAAGTATGTATTATCCAACTACAGGACAAATTTGATTTTGAATACATTTCACTAAATTTTTGCAATGTCATGACCCTTTTCCAAGTGATTTCTTTTGTTAAAATAATGTTTCTGCGCTATCACTTTCGAACAAAAGGCTTGAAATAAAACTATTATTGAATTGAAGGTTATGGTTGATGTCCATTACATGCTTAAATGCTACATAATTATGTTACCAAACTGAAGCGATTATAAAACTGGATAATTGTTTTATGTCTATGAGCAAGAAATGATTTGCATTATGCATGTCACATTCAATATCTGTTACATTTCTCTACAGTTTCGTAATCCTGTGTAATAATAATTTTCACTAAAACTTGGTTTTTATGCCTTCGAAGGGAGGCATATAGTAATTGCCCTGTGCGTCCGTCCGGGTTAACTTTTTTGGGCAAGTTGACTTTTTCTCTATTTTTACAGAAAATTATCAGTTGATACTTTATGCAACCCAATATCATTGTTTGTTTAATCAAGTTCTTGATCTCTGTAGCGTTTTGTGTCAGTAGGTCAAAGGTTAAGGTCACAGGGACCAGAAATGTAAAAATCATTTATGCTAAATAACTTAAGTTCCTTATGACCTACTGTCTTCAAACTTCATAGAATGATTGGTCTTATTAGGAAGATGAACCCTATTGAATTTAAGGGCAGTAGGTCAAGGTCACAGTCCAGATTTTTTGGAGGAAAGTTGCTCTTGATGTATTTTGAAAGGCATCACTTGAAACTCCAAACAATCTTATAACATGATTTGTTTTATCACATTCTTGAGCCCTGTAGGAACTTTGGTCACTAGGTCAAAGATCAAGGTCACAGGGGCCAGAAATGTGTAAATTGTTTATGCTTAATAACTTCATTTCCTTCTGACCTATGGTCTTCAAACTTCATAGAATGGTTAGCGTCATTAAGTAGATGTACACTATTAATTTTTGTACCCTAAAAATAGAAAAATACTTAAAAAATACTTAATTCATAAATAATTCAAAAACTGCAGAAGATAATTAAATGAAACTTGGTATACACATAAAGGACAGTGTGATGATTGTGTGCTTGATGTCAGATGTCTGGTCATTGTTAATAAAAAATAGAAAAAAAATAATACTGTATAATTAAAAAACTACAGAAGATAATCTAACAAATATTGGTATACACATAAACGGCATTGCAAAGAGCATGGCCATGAGGTTGAAAGATAAAATAATCCTTAAAAAATGGCTCATTTAAGGATTCATTTTATTTACACTGTCTCGTTTATAGGAACATGGTGGGGCTAAGAGCGAGGTTTGGTGCACCATTAACCGGTTTAAACTCCCCAGCAGTCATTATTATGCTGCTGACCGTTCCAAGGCGGCGCCCCACTGTGTTCCTCAGATGTATGTCTATGTTGTTTCATAATGTTTTGGTGACACTTTTGCTTGTGTCCCTTGTTGTTTTCTCGTCTACGGTAAGTATCTTCCCCATTGCCTCTAGTTTTGTTATTTCTTTGATTAACCCCCCCCCTTCCCCCGGTCTCCTGTCCCCTTCCCCTTTGTGGGCCTATTATTATTTTCTTTGAATTCCTAATCAGTTACAAATTATTTATCATTTAATGATTAACCTGTCCGTGCTGTGTCTTTGCCCTGTCCTGTTTTTGTTTGGGGTCCGTCTGGGCTCCTTGCCATTGGCTCTTGTTGCTGGGTCATATGGGGGTTGCGTTCATTGAACGCCGCCTTTCCTTGTTGATCTTGTTTTATCATATTTCATGTACATGTAGCACACAGTCGCCCCAAAAAATGGTTCCTATTTATTCACTTTAGAATACTTTGGGTGTTCTACTTACAATGTATTTGCTTTAGCACTTGGATGTAGATGACCCTAATGATTTTCAGTTTACATTGTTGAAGGTCATACTGCACTGTCAAGCTGACAGCAGCTGACACTTGTGTTCTATTGAACACCTCTGGTTAAAATGTTTATGCCTTCGGGGGCGTATGTGTTTCTCAAACACAGATTCTTGTTTGCATCATACCTTGAAGATATAATATTGAGTGGATTGATGAATAATTGTAAGAACATTATCAAAAATTCAAAATACAGGTGAAGGTTTTGCTAATGTCACTAACTTCCAATTGTTGGAGACATGAAATCTTTTTCTCTTGGCTTGTAATTTTCATAATCCATGGCAATTGTAAAAAGATGTTATAAAGAAAAATGCTGTATACATATATGATGGTGGTCAAAGCTCAAATCTGGCAAATGTTAACTAGATTTTGAGTACTTTAGATTTAACTCTTTGAGTGGAATTTTCTGAGTTTATGAGGACTTACAGAGTGTGAATATTTAAGACCTCATTTTGATAGGTATTAACTGTAAATGCATGTGTGTTTTGGTGCATAACATGTTGTTTGTTGTTGTTTTTTGCCTGATTTGTTAATTTTGAACAAACCATTACAAACAATTTGGTGCATTGAAGTGCACTGCATGTTTATGCAGTGATTGAGGCAATTGAGGAAAAATATAGAATCTTTTTAGATCATCACAGTGTCAGTAAATGTTTTGTTATTTTTACATTTCAGGTGGCCAAGGTCAGTAAATTGCTGCTTGAGTTAGAGAAAGGAAATATTCATCAATTCAAGGGGAAAAGACTTGATGAAATACAGTTTGATCTTGAAGGTAAATAATTATTTCACTTTGTACGATTAGTTGTTGCCTAGAGGAAAGTGCATAATAATATCAAAACATTTATCGTTTCCATGCCTGGCATGCCACTGACAAAACTTATGCTAACTTCTTCTGTTATTGTCTTCTCACAACTGGACTGTTTATCACAGAAATAATTGACTGTAAACAATGGGAACAGAATAGGACCCTGGACATTTTGTGCACAGTGTACTTTTTATGCTTTAATCACACAACATCAGAAAATGTATTTCAGGTCCCTAGGTGCCATCATAAAACTTTTTTAGAATGCAATACCTTAAAAGTAATATGTTTATTGTTAATTCTTTAAGCCTCGATTTATTTGTCTTCAATGAAGTTTGGTCAGAGCGATGACTTTACATAGCCTGCAACATTTTCAATTTTGACGTGTTGGACTTTCTTTAGGGATTCTGTTTTTTTATATTTTACAATGTATCAATTGATACATGGTCATAAAAGGTTATCAGATCATTTCTTAATCCATCAGAAAAGTTGGCATCAATATATTTTAGGAATCTTGAATTCCTATAGATATCACATTTGATATGAAACATTATGTAGTAGATAAAATGTCTATGTGCTTAGGGTTAGAATAAATGATATATTGGTGCTTGCAGAGCCTATGGAAGAAGATGATTTAGAAGGGGAAAATGGCATGATCAACGAGACCCCAAGTACGTCAAACATAAGCAGAATGTGCAGAAATCACTCGGCTAAAACTGATAATCAAGATAAAGCACCGGCAGTTAAACGTTCAAAAACATCTTCTGTCACTGCCAAGAAAACACCTACATGTAAACAGTCAGCGAAACGGTCATGGTCTGAAAATGAAAAGGCTGGCGTGAACCGACAACTCAAGAAACACTTCTACACAGAAAAGCTTCCTGGAAAGTTCGAAATAGAAGAAGCAAGGAGAAAGGAACCAGTTCTTTTGAACAGGCCATGGGTCCAGATTAAATCATATATAAAAAATGTTAAGACGTCACAGAAGCGAAAATATGGCAAATTGCAATAAGGTATCAATGGTGTGACTAAATCATACAGTTGTTTGTAAATGTTCACTTAGAAAGTATGGGGAAGATAAATATATCTGTTATTGTTGTGATTACAGAAGTAGAACAAAACAGTCATTGGAATAATTTATCATAAAAGTAAACATAACCAATGGGAAGATGTATAAATGTGAAATGTTTGATTATGATACATGTATGAAAGGCAATTTAAAGCGACACTTTACAGTATATACCGGTCCGGGAGAGGAATGTTTCAATTGTGATCATTGTGATTATAAGTGCTGCAAGAAGAGTAGCTTAAAGAAACAAATGAACATACATGCAGTCTTATCATCATAGTAGTCATCTGAAAAGTCATATACATACAGGAGATAAACCATTAAAATGTAAATAGTGTGGGCATGAATCTTGTGACTGGACATGTGTTGCCTGGCATATTCAGGAGATATAGGTGTTACCCCCAGCGGCCTCGTCCACGGCATCTCTGGGTGATAAGTAGAAACTTTCCTTTTGGCCTGCTGTTTTTAAACTTCATAGGATGATTGAGTAGATGACCCCTATTGATTCTGGGGTCAATAACCCCCGGTCAAGCGACACAAAAAGTCGCAGTTCTAGTAATGTATAAATATGCATACAAAAATTTTTAGTTTATGGGATATAGTTATTAGATAGAGTACTGTGTCTTGGGTAATTATGACAATGATATTATGAATATTATTTCAAATTTAATCCGTATAGCCACATGTGAATTTGTCATTTGATTTAAAATTGAATGTTTAACTAAAATCAGGGTTTCCAGGGTCAGGAAAAACTGATTTTTTTCCAGGTCAGGGAAAAGTCTGGGAATTTTCAAGTCAGTCAGGGATAATGGCAATGTGCCAAAAAGTCAGGGAATTTTCAAATAAGTCAGGGAATTTTACAAAAACTGCCTTCAGATTGCATCATTTTCAATTTTCTTGCGGGAGGACCCACAAACCCCCACTTCTTTAAACTCTTTGTTAAAGTGTTCTCTTTAAAATTATTTGGCAGTAACTACACAAAGGGAAATTGTTCTAGACTATAATACCTATTGACACTGACATTTTGTGGATTTTATGCGCAAAACTAATTTGCATGTTCTGTTTAGAATTTTGAATTTGGTCAGGGAAGAGTCAGGGAATTTTGTTATGTCATCTTTGTGGGAACCCTGAACTTAGAATAGGGCACCATGATCATTTAAAAGTTGTAACTTTTTAGCTCACCTGTCACAAAGTGACAAGGTGAGCTTTTGTGATCACTTTTCGTCCGGCGTCCGTCTGTCCGTACGGAAAAATAGGTACTTAGGAGGATATGAGAACAATTGGTATAAACAGTAAATGTCTTTTGATGTCATTCATTCCGTTTTGGGTTTATGTGGCTTTTTGGGCTTATGTGGCTATTTAGAACAATAGAGAGAACAATGGGATAGTCACTTAAGTACCAATTTATAAGAACGTCCGTCCGTCCGTAAACTTTTACTTTAAACGACATCTCCTCTGAAACCATAAGGCAGATCATGATGAAACTTTACAGGGATGTTCCTTGTGTGAAGCCTTAACAAAATTGTTCAAAGAATTCCATTCCATGCATAACTCTGGTTGCCATGGCAACCAAAAGGAAAAACTTTAAAAAAACTTCTTGTCAGAAACCACAAGGTCTAGATCTTTGGTGTGTAGGATCCCCTAGTAGACCTCTACCAAGATTGTTCAAATTATGGCCCTAGGGTCAATGTTGACCCCGCCCACGGGGTCACTTGATTTTACATAGACTTATATAGTAAAAACTAAAAAATCTTGTCAGAAACCACAAGGCCTATAGTTTAGATATTTGGTGTGTTACATCCTTTAGTAGACCTCTACCAAGATTGTTCAAATTATGGCTCTAGGGTCAATATTGGCCCTGCCCCAGGGGTCACTTCATTTTACGTAGGCTTGTATAGGAAAACTTTAAAAAAAATGTTATAATTGGCTATTATTTTGCTATTAATGCATGGATTGTCTTCATACTTTGACACAACAACCCTATGGACAAAACCTTTAAGGACATTAGACTGAATTTGACCTTGATTCATAAATGACCTTGGACTTCAAGGTCAAATTCTTATTTTTTGCTTAAATTTTGCTAGAATTTGCTATAACTTTGTTATTCTTAAATGGATTATTTTCATACTTGGACAAAACAACACTTGGTACAAGACCTCCATGGTGACCAAACTAAATTTGACCTTTACTTTTAAATAACCTTGACCGTCAGGGTCAAATTATTGAATTTTGCTAAAATTGTAATAACTTTGTTATTTATGGACTGATTTGATTTATTCTTGGACAAGGCAACACTTATGGCAAAACCGACATTTTGAATCCTTCAGCTGTGACCTTGACCTTGGTATGACCTTGACCGTCAAGGTCAAATTATTGATTTTGCTAAAATTGTCATAACTTTGTTATTTATGGACTGATTTGATTCATACTTGGACAAAATAATACTTTTGGCAAATCCAACATTTTGAATACTTCAGCTATGACCTTGACCGTCAAGGTTAAATTATTGAATTTTGTTACAATTGGCATAACTTTGTTATTTATGAACCGATTTGATTTATGCTTGGACAATACAACACTTATGACAAAACCGACATTTTGAATCCTTCATCAGTGACTTTGACCTTGATATGACCTTGACTGTCAAGGTCAAATTTTTTAATTTTGCTGAAATTGTAATTACTTTGTTATTAATGGACAGATTTGTTTAATACTTGGACAAAACAACACTTATAACAAAACCAATGTTGAACTCTTCAAATATGACCTTGACCTTCATATGACCTTGACCGTCAAGGTTATTAATGGACAGATTTGATTTATTCTTGGACAAAAACAACACCTAATACAAGACCGGCACACTTGGACAAAACAACATGTATGACGAACTTGTCATATTGAGTAATTAAAGAATGACCATTAAATGATGTTCACCCTCTTTGGTATTAAAAAAAGTTGAGCAACGCTCCCGCTTGTGGTGGCTCTTTTTTTTTTATTTTAGATAAAGTTACATGTATATAAGAACTTTGAAAAATCTTCTTATCACAAGGCCTGGTTTGGACAGTATAGAATTATTTCCAAATTAGTTTTCAATCATTATGTATAATCTTTGTTGTCTAAAAGTACAAAAATATTCAGGTGAGCGATATAGGGCCATCATAGCCCTCTTGTTTTTATTAAAATACAGTTCTTGTTAATTTGTTGGATGTATAGTTGTTCGCACACCAACAAATAGAGGACCCACCTGCAGTGTCGGGACTTACACACTAGTCCTCAATTTGTTTACTGTTAAATCTTCTTCTCAAGAACTTATGATCAATTTAATTGTCCCCCGCCTTTTCAAAGAAAAAAGGGGGATATAGAAATAGGCTCCGTCTGTCCGTCTGTCAGACTTTCGTGTCCGGTCCATAACTTTGTCATTTATCAAAGGAATTTGAAATAACTTGGCACAAATGTTTGTTATAACAAGACGATGTGCCATGTGCAACAACCAGACCCGTACCTCCAAGGTCAAGGTCGCAGTTGCTCATTCAAGGTCAACATTGTCTATTTGAGGGTATATGTCGTGTCCGGTCCATAACTTTCTTATCTTTGAAGGGATTTTGTAAATACTTGCCACAATTGTTTACAATAAAGAGACGATGTGTCATGTGCAACAACTGGTCACCTACCTCCAAGGTCAAGGTCACACTTGGAGGTCAAAGATTAACATAGTCTGTTATAGGGTATATTTTGTGTCCGGTCCATAACTTTTTCATAGATCAAAGGATTTTGAAAATACTTGGCACAAATAGTCACTATAATAAGACGATGTGTCATGCGCAACACCTGCATCCCTACCTCTAAGGTCAAGGTCACACTTAGAGGTCAAACATTAACACAGTCTGTTATAGGGTATATTTTGTGTCCGGTCCATAACTTTTTCATAGATCAAAGGATTTTGAAATTACTTGGCACAAATAGTCACTATAATAAGACGATGTGTCATGCGCAACACCTGCATCCCTACCTCTAAATTCAAAGTCACACTTAGAGGTCAAACATTAACACAGTCTGTTATAGGGTATATTTTGTGTCCGGTCCATACCTTCTTCATAGTTTAAGGGATTTTGAAATAAATTTCGCACAAATAGTCACAATAATAAGACAATATGTCAAGTGCAACACCTGCACCCCTACCTTCAAGGTCAAGGTCACACTTAGAGGTCAAAGGTTAACAGAGTCTGTTATATGGTATATTTTGTGTCCCGTTCATAACTTCTTCATAGATCAAGGGATTTTGAAAATGCTTGGCACAAATAGTCACAATGATAAGATGATATGTCATGCGTAACACCCGTGTCCCTACCTCCAAGATCAAGGTCACACTTAGAGGTCAACGATTTACATAGTCTGTTATAGGGTATAGTTTGTGTCCAGTCTATAACTTTTTCATAGATCAAGGGATTTTAAAAATACTTTGCACAAATAATTACAATAATAAGACGATACGTCAGGCGCAGAACATGGGTCCCTACCTCCAAGGTCACACGATTAACATAGTGTGTATTAGGGTATATTTTGTGACCGATCTATAACTTCTTCATATTTCAGGGGATTTTGAAAATACTTGGCACAAATAGTAACAATAATAAGACGATATGTCATCCGCCTGCACCCCTACCTCCAAGGTCAAGGTCACACTTAGAGGTCAAAGCTTAACATGATAGATTTTTAAATTCCGTGCACAGTTTTATGCTTCATATAAAGCTTCCCCGAGGCGGGGGACGTTGGTAACTCTGTTACAAATTCTTGTTGATATTATGCAGCGAAGTTCCTTGTTTTAAGACCGTTCAAAGTTGTATTAAACATGTGATTATGTTGCCATTTAAACCGGCCATTGCAACCAGTAATTCACTTTATAAATATATGAGTATATTCAGCCAAAATGTTCCTGGGATGAAGCCCTTAAAAGTTATATAAATTATCTTTCTCCATGAAGAATCCTGGCTGCCATGGCAACAGATTGTTTCCTAAATAAATATATAGGAAAACTTCAAAATTCTTTTCAAGAACCACTGATCAGATTTAAATGATATTTTGCAGAGATTGTTCTTGAGTGAAAACCTAGTTTTATAAATCATGTGATTCCGTTGGCATGGAATCCGGCCATTGCCACCGCTTATTTTGTCTATCAAGAAATGAGGAAAACTTTAAAAAAAAAATTCTGAAACTACTGAACTACTGGTCCGATTTCTTAGATATTCAGTCAGAATGAATAACTCTGGTTACCATGGTAACTGTTGTTTCTTATATAACATATGGAAAACTATGATCAGAATTGATTGATATACTATACAGAGATGGTCCTTGGGTAAAAAATTCTGGAAACAAAGTGATCCCTCGGAAGCATTAATCACAACAAAATAACATAAGAAT